CTCAAATGACCAAACTATAATCCTCCTAAAAAAAATTCCATGTGTTACATGCCTTTTTAAATGTGTTTTATGCGACTGATAGTTGGATTTTGTGTCTCCAAGAAATAGCACATTACAGATAAGAGTTGAATCATTTTTGCATAATATACTGTAGGTTTATCACTTTTCAATATAGAATTAAAAATCTTAAAAATATTATTTGATTCTTTATTGCATAGTGTATCCAAATAATATCTGTCAAAGTCGTAATATGAATTAATGTGAAATTATGTAAGCCATCAACGGGTACATACGCTAATAAAAGCTTCAAATAACATTATTCTTCAAGGTATTCGACTTTTCCTAATTACGAGTTTCAACGACTTCTGTGACTTCTGCGATTTCTGCTAAGATTACATAAATGCTTATATTAATGAATTAAAAAAACGAATATTATAAAACATACTCAATATTTCAAGAACTATAAGAAATGTTATCTTTAGAAGTAAAATTTAGAAATTTTACATTAAACTCTTTTAAATAATAAATTTAATCTTTGTATGAAAATTGGTGTTGTAGAGTTTGTTTAGAACTCAGAGAAGTTCCGTGCATTATTTTTACTTTTCACGCTCTTTCTTAGCTTAATCTCTTAATACGATTTTATGAGATGAGTAAATAATTTAGATTATTCTACACTTCTCTTATTAAAACTTTAAATAATATTATAAATTTAAGTATATAGTGAATACTTATATATAACATACATACCAACTTTGAAATAAAAGATATATACAATATTTAAATAATTATATTTGGAACAAAGTAGGCTTATTTATGAAGATTATAGTAAAATTGCTGGTTATATGATCGAACATTATCCCGTTCTTAGATAATTTATTGGACGTACACTGTTCGAGCGCGATAATTAAAGGGCTGTCACAGTTTTCTAGGCGAGCAGTTAGTTCTCATTTATAAATGAGATTATAATGAATCGCGGGCGCAAACTCAATTTCTTCGAAGTCCCTAATGGATTTGTCACAAAAGAATGTTAGCTTCGGGAATGGGAAGAGTTTGGGGCTCTCTTAATCTGTCTTTACTGCTTTCTCATTACTAGAACTCCCGGAGTGAAGGCTCATTGAAATAAATGTGAGGGGTTAAATAAAACGAAAATCCGAGATTGTCTATTTGCACATTTTTCACACCCGTCTTTACTTGAGATATTTGCTCGGCTGTTGTTGGTCAGACAGGAATGCACAAGATTTTACTATACAATTAGAAAAATTTTATCTATTTATTGCGCGAAATATTTAATAGCAAAGAAGTATATTTGTTCTTATAATAGGTAATCTAAATTTTAATATTATTTATTATTATTAATATAATGTTAATATTTAAGCAAAGAAATATAATTATTATTAAAACATATGTAGTTTTTTCATTAGTTATTTATATGAATTTTTTATAAATAAATAATTATTCTGGAAATAATTAAATATAACGTTTAATTAAAAATGGTATTCCAAATTTTATTGCATTTTATTTACAACTCTCTCTGATATCGATCCATTTCATTCATAATGCTTCTATATTTGGTACATATATTATAAACAATAATTTTATGGGATGCTGTTGCATATGGTTTAATAAATAAATGTAAAGTGCTGAAATTAAGTTTTAAAAGCTAGAATATTAAACTTGCGCGAAATATGCGGAAATTTTACAAACCAGCCACAGATTCAAATTACATTGAAAAGTTAATAAACCTGTAATTAACGGCTAAATTCCGTGTTATTATAAGTAACTGTGGTATTTATAAAAGAGATTTGTTAATTCAATGTAATAAAATACTCATCGCAATTGATAATTTATATATCTTACAATTAGAGTTACAAATTTATGAATTCATGAGAGTTACCATGCAAAACACATTTTTAAGAGTTCTTCCTTCGCGTGGAGAATACCGACGCGATATTTTTTTGCAGTTTTCGCGATTTGGCAAATTGCAAATGTATGGAATATCCACTTTTCGCGGTTGGCGTATGTGTGCACCGCTGCTGCGGGCAATCGCACAACCACAGAAAGAAAAACATCAATTCACCATTCATAATATAATACCGCAAAATAATTTCTCTTGTTTTAAGTTATAATAACTTTAATGTATCGCCTGGTATCGCCACATGAGCACTATGGCACAGATCGATTATTGAATAATCGTATATTCAGCCGTGTAATTCATTACTACGTATGACGGTGTTGACAATAATAATTCTGTTTGCACTCGCCTTTATTTATTTGCTTGATTATTCGCCGTTGTCGACTTATTAGTATTTTTTGTATACATATTTATTTATTAGTTATTTTTAATTTGTAAATATTATTATTGCAAATATTATTATTGCTTTTACTCCACAAAAATATTTCATGAAAAATAATCCATTAATCGTAGCTTTATGCACCAAATATAACAAAGATGATAGATTGTGAAAATTTTCTCTGTCATTTCAAACTGTACAAACTGAAGACATCGAAGGTTTGATTTTACGAGGTAGCGGAAAGGATCTGAACGAACGGAAGATGAAAGCGGAGAATGAAAACGGAGGACAGGGATTCGAATAATGGGCGAATCTTGCGCAAAACTGAAATGATTGATGGAGAAGCGCGTTGGCGGAGACTGGAAATTCTGGGAAATGCCTCGGAAACAAAAGGAAGGGGAGGAAATAGTTAAACTTGTGCGCGGACTAGGTCGATACCTATGTTCAAATGCAGTTAATTCGAATGCTTTCGATAATAGTTACACTACGAGGACTCATCAACCGACTGACGCGGTTAATGAGTTTTCTAGCCTTTTCGCGAGAACTGACATTTGCCATAGTTCGATTTTAAAAAAGCAATCTCTATCTGCGACTCTTTATTATTCTATGGACTCGAGATTAAAATTGCAAGTTACAAGTTATACATCTAATAGAAGAAAATGGTATAAAAAATTCTACATTCATCTCGCTTATAAGCGAAATTAATGTAGAATTTTTAACTATAAACTCTATAAAGGATAGATTTTGACTTGTTTTTATATTAATATTATCATTTATTTCTACTTTCATTGAAATTGCTGACAAACCTCTTATTATTTATTTGCAAGGTGTGAATAAATCTTATTTAAAGTTGATATCTTGGTAATTATTTTTTCACACACAATAGGCTTTTGTTTTCTAAATTCTTAAAAAGTAAAATTGTTAAAAATAGTCTTATATAAAATAAATGTAATAAAGAAGTAAATTGACAAGAGGGAGATAAAATACGATGTTATTAAAAATTCTTTGCAATTTATCTTGACAATTTTCTAATTTTATAGAAATCATTTTTTTAACATTTTTGTACAATAATAATTGATTTATGTAAGAAAAAAATTTTATTCGTATTCTGTTTAAGATAATTTTATATCGTAGAATTCTGCTTAATGGTGGAATTATCATTATTCAGATTTAACTCTGAAATTTACACAAGGTATGACCTAATGGTCTTCCACATTCATTAAATATCCAAGTTGTCACAGAAATATGTATGAACCTAAGGAGGTTATCGCGCAATGCAATTTTTCTTCATTAATTTTGTCCGGTTTACGTATGCACGAGGAAAACCAGTTTAGTGTACGAACCAACGCGGGTTTATTAGATAAATATTAAAATGTGCTTCACATTTGTTACACAAATTTGATTGATCTCAATAAAAAAATATTCTGCCTTGGAGACACAAGCGAGAATAATTTGACTATAAAAAGAACAATATAATTGTACAATACATAAAGAATGCATCAGTAATATTTATACTAATATAGATCAATTTATTATTACAAAAATCTTTAGGAAAAATAATAAGCGTATAAAAAATGCGAAAGAAAAGGTATATCGAGACTTTTTAAATTATAGGATTGAAATATACTACGTATTCCAAGAATGATGATAAAGCTAATGAGATGCATGAAGCATTTAGTTTCTTATTATGCGTTTCAATAGTCTCTTATGTTTCATGTTTCATTAATATTAATGAAAACTTCAGTTTCTATTGCATCGTAAGTACAGCAGAGGAATAATTTTTCAAATAATACTTTTTGCGTGAGGATCGATTCTGAAGACATATCGAGAAAGACCTAATAACGACAAATCCGAATATGTTCATTGAAGCACTTGTCAGACGACATTGATATCTTTTCGTGCCATGTAAAGAAGCATCGTACTCTGAGTTTTTATGTAGCGATCCAAAGTCCTTACGCGCATGGGGATATGGCGTAAGTCCAGTTTGCGTGAAATTTTCGAAAAAGTCGCCTCTCGAAACTTCTGCGTATTCTTGAAACCGAGTCTTAAAACTTTCCCGGAAGCTATTTCGGCGCCGCGGCATATTTCCTCGTTCGATTTAAACCGAAGGATTTTACTATCCTAGCTCGCACCTCCAATTTTACGACCGGTGTTCCCATATCGCAATCGCGAGAGCGCAGGATAAACTTATCTGCGCTCTCTCTCTCTCTCTCTCTCTCTCTCTCTCTCTCTCAATGTTTTCTTTCCCCTGTTTCTTTTTGACCATGATTTAGTACACCTCAATAATATCGGTGTCGCAATAATTTTCACCGCGTGACAAATACGTACTAAAACGTATCCGCAGCAATTTGTATCAATAACCATATTTCATTATACGTATATCACGGCGCTACCGAGATCGCGCGGTCTTGATGCGATCTCGATTACATATTGGCGCGGGAACGTTACCTAATCACGCTTGCATCTCGCTCGCAAACTGACACACGAGCGTATACCAATCTTCCGAAAGAAACGGGATTGTGCGCAAACGAGGCGTATATGGAGAAAAATAGCACTTTATAAGCAAGGAGATTCTGATGAATTTTTAACATCGCGTAGGATGGACTGGCACAAGAGAGAAAGAGACAGGAATTCGAAGATGTATAGAGAGCCGACTATATAACGTATAAAATAGATTCAACATATTCAAGACAATAAAAAAAGTAAGATCAAAGAAGAGGTTTAATAAATTTCTCCCCATAAATTTACATCGTATTTTGCCGTGTTTACGTTAATTTAGGTCAGATACTTATAAAAATTCTCACATTTTTGCATATTCTCTGATATAAATTTTTTTATAAATTTTACTCTATCAACAATTTATTTATTTTGCACTTTTTTAAATTAAAACGCTACGCGCCGATGTTTGAAAATCCAGGCTCCGACCAAGTTCTACTTTCCCTCGTCACTGTAAAATTACGGCATTGTCTCCGGAATATGTAATCGCGTTCTTCCGTTCAATATTCATCGAAGCGTTGCCGTCGTCGGGTCAAAGTAATCACTCATAGCTTTGCGCGGGCGTAACGATTCTATACTGAAGGCCGATTAGTGCATTTGTCATGCAGCCGGGGTATCTGGGGTCGCGCATACTCCCATTAGTGACGTACGGGCTTCAAGCCAGACAATGCTTCGATGCGAAGACGGCGATCTGAATTCTACTAAGTGAGCGCTGGCTGATCGATGGGAATACTATATTTCGGGAGGGAAACGGTTCGTCATCCTGTGAAACTCTGCGTGTGACACGGGCCACTTCCACTTCGAAGAGGATTAATGTACTACTCGTACGAGAGAGATGTGCTATCGCGGGTCGCAACAAGCCGTTTCTCCCATATGAAGTGCGATTGCACAGATTTATCCTGCCATTCTGTAATAAAAATTTCGTTGATTAAATATGGATTTAATTGCACGATTTTTTTTTCTAATGTTACGTAAGTTACGTAGACTTTATTTATAAATTAATTGCTTTATTTATAAAACTACGTACAATATTTAATTAATGAAAGAGGAATCTGTCATGCATGAGATTAAATATAACAGAGAAAATAAAAATATTCGTTACGTATGTATGTTAAAAATATTGAAATAAGTGAAAAATATGGCAATTTTGTAAAAGAACTAGGTCACAGTATTTTACATAATTATATAAATGTCATGTTGACTTCCAAATTCATATACGCTTCATTTCGCTATTATTGGCACTTCCTCTAATAAAAAATCCAAAAGAAAAATACGAATTGTGTGCGACTTATAATTTCATCAATAATAGGTCAAACAAAATAACAGATTAAACATCGAATGACAATGATAATTGAAAAATATTGCGTCATAAAGAAAAGTAGTGTTACACGTTTGCGCGTATCTCCAGGAAAAAAAATACGTTTATTATTTGTATATGTACATACATTGGGTACTGTGCTCGACACTCTTCCACGCTCTCTGGGACGCGCGTATGGAAACGTGCCGGATGAATCTTGCGTGCGAGAGTCGGTTTTACCGGGATTTATTCGCGTATGCCTCGTTAAAGGTGTACAAACATGTACTTCCGCGGCATTCATTAAAATAACAGATACTTGGTGCTGTCCGGATAAATGTCGGGAACCGGGTTTACGCCTGCCGCTTTCATTTTAAACGAGAGCGAGACAATGATTCGTGTTGACTGTCTCGCTCGATGCTCTGCAAAGCTGACGTTAATCGAGTGCCGCGGAAACTTAGACTGATACGGTCACATATAGTACGTTATAATAGAGCGCGCGTAATCCGACGGAGACATTGCCGTAAGAAACTAGGGTGGAAAAATGTTCTAGCGCTCGGGATATGAAGCGAGTCGGGGGTTAATGCCGGGCGTGCTCTTTGTTCAAGAAAACATGCCCTAGGTTACGTCTGATCGATTTACCCTTTAAAGTATTCTTACGCCGACAACAGGTTGCACATGCTTCTATAATTAAAAATACTTGAGTTCCAAGATTAATTTGAGTTCCAAGATAATTTAAATTAAAATTTTTAAACACGCTGTAAATACGGGAGAGATACTTTATTAAAGGTCTTCCGTTATTAACGCGGAAAGCGCGCTATCTTATTGCAGCGTGATTTAAACGTTCGAGTGTTACTTTACGCTATTATTTGCGGCGAAAGAAGTCGCGGCACGTTCCAAAGTTGCGTAATTTCCTGTTGACGGCGATATCATTGCAAGCGATATGTTTTATGCGAGCGAGACACGAGTGACGCAAGTGACCCCACATCTCGCCGTCCGGTCAACAACACTTGAACAACCGTGCGCGCGGTAATCGTACAAGGGGTAGACAAGCGCATCCGACAACGAACGGATAGATACGCCTGGATGAAACGGCGCATCGTTGCACGTGCTCGTTGATGTTGATTTTCTCGTGCATCGTGAATAGGTGTGTTTGCCCGGCCGCAAGCACGCATGTACGTTACGTACGTGTATCATCCTCGCGCAACACTTGCCCCCAAGCGGATTTTACATTCGCAGTACAAAGCGAGAAAATAAACAGAGAGCAGACGGTATAATATTGCGTTAGCGAAATGATACATTGATTGTTGTTAGGGGATGCAACTATGCGCTGACTTTACGATAAACATCTGCCGCTCTTCTCTGGCTTTCCGTTTCGAATTCTAATGGATAAAACCGATTTTTTTGTGATTTCTAATCGAAACGCGGCGCGCGGCTATATGAACACGAGGTTTTACTGTATAAGGCATTAAAATCTTAAAATCTGTTTGCCAAAATTTATTTCCCAGTTTGACAATTTTGTAATTATTTAATGTCATTGAGTTGACAATGGATCTGAAATGATAGAAAACATGTTACCTATGTTTATCGTTATTTTAGCATTTATTTATAGATATAATAAAATATAAATTTTTCAAATATTGGCGAAATCTTTCCTTATCTAAAAATATTAAAAATTAAAAGATGTGTACAAGCACGAATGGAATTAATTTAAAGCGATTATTGCGGAATTTTGAACAATTAAATGTTACTTTGTTTACTCTTTTTTTAAGACAGATATAGGTTTTTCTCTTTGCGAAGTCGGGTATAAAAAAAGCGAATCTAACGACGCGTTATATACGGGTTTATTGCGGTTAATCGAACATAAGTTATCCACATATAAAATCCCTCGAAATAGGGGAAGAGAAGTATAATTAGATATAACACGCAATAAGGTCATCTCTTTGTTTGTGTGATATAGAAATAGTAAATGTAACAGTTGAACATCATGTAGAGTAACAGCTACTTTATCGTCACTTCATTCGACTTTATTGTTGTCATAACTTCGGAACTTCTTTACGAGTGAGAACTAAACTTATTTTTAAACAACATAGTATCTTATTTTCTGTAACGTACCTATGCATCAATGTTTTAGAACAAGTAATATTCTGACAAATAAATTATTACACGTATATTGCAGGACATTTGCTCTTTTATTTCCACATTAGAGAAAGATACAGAATTTTTGTCGTTCCTTCGGACTATTGATATTCAGGCAAGCCTCGACTCATTGGACATTTATGCGCAATATAAGTTGATTTCCAGCAATAAGATAGGAATGGCAAATTCCGTAAAGAAACAACTAAATCGGGCAGCGGGACTATCATTAAAATGAAATATCCTTCTGAACTACGCGGTTCTTCCGCTGCGATTGCAAACTCCGCAATACGTCACCTTCCTTCCGCGTGTCGTTTCGCCGCGGGCGGTCGTCGTGGATCGTCTTAACGACGCAATAATGACCGCTCGTATTCAAATAACGAGAGGTGCGCGTAAGGTTCTCGCGTAGCATAAATTTTGCACTCGCGCGTCATCGACGCGCAACCCGTCGCGAATCGGGCATACATTCCCCGCGGTATTTTTCACGTAATGCCGTGTCGTTCGATCGCGCGACACGCTCTCGCATAAGCGAAAACGCGTCTCCGGTAACTGCAGTCGAGAGACGCGGTCGACTTTACGATCGCGAGAAACACGCTACCCCCGACGCTCTTGATTCTTTTATATTCCGTCCGTCCGACGTCGAGCTCCGTAGCCGTTTACTGCCGCGTTTTAATGTCGTATAAGTGACGCGAGGGGTTCCAGGACGTCTGGCGCGCTGGGAGAACGGAAGGATTTAAGTCTCCCGCTCGCCCTTTCGTTTCTCCACGCGGCAGTTTTGAAGCTGCCACCGTCGCGTCGCTTGTACCCGGAAGTGGCATCGAGAGAACCTGTCTCACGACTCGCGACTTCCAACGCGAACGCGCTATAGCACGAGAGGAGAGTGGTTACGGTTTCTGAGCCGTGGTTACCGCAGCGCGCACGGAATATTTTACAAAAATGCATACTCCGAAGGATCGCGGCATTCCTTATTCACGGCTGCGCGAATTTGTCGTGTACACGCCGCCACGCTGCCACGTGTATCACCCATGTCGACCGCAATTCTGCCGTTGCGCTGCCGCGCGGTCCTGAGTGTGTTATGTTCACACGGCTTGTTTGCGACGGGAGGGTGTCAGCGCGACCGAAAAAGTGACCGGCGGTGATTTCGCGCGAGTTAAACGGAGTAGAAAGTGAATATTGTTTAGGACGAGGGACGGATGTGCGAAATTTTGTCGGCAACCGTCGATGCAACCGGTCGCGCGTTTTAATGCTTTTAACGTTGAACATGATTCACACCTATTGGATGCTTACTGAGTGGGTTAACAAGTATGCTAAGTCAAATTTCTTGTTAACACTATACAGGCCGGGCATTTGCGCGAGTAACTTTTATCAGTTGCCGGCTCTTTTTATCAGGAATTGATAAGAAATGATTTTTGCTGTGTATGTAAGTAAATTCAATAACTCTGAATATCTGAAAAGTAACGGTCGGCATATTAAATGTTGCCAATGTGGTGTCATCGGTTATTAAAATGTTAATCTGATTTGTTTTTCTTTTCTTTATTTTCGTAATTGAGTTTAATATATATAATTATTTTTACATAGGTATAATTATGATTACAAATAGAATCTCTCTTTGACTTTATATTAACCCTCGATTTAATTTTGTTTCAAACTAATCCGATTCTATTCTGAGAGAGCCTATGATCTTAATTTGGTTATATTAGAGGTTTATTTGAACCTTAATCTAAACTATAAAAGTAAAATTTTATAGGCAATCTAAGACACCTTTTTGATATTGATAAATTAAACTTTTTTAATTTAAATTTGAAATTATTTTTAAATAAGGTTTTTTAAATAGTTATTTCAGTTTTTGTGGACAATTTTGTTCTTTTACATATCTGTTTTTTAAAAGTTGCAAAGAAAGCAAGATCGTAAAGTTTAAAACACATATTCGAAAATGTCAAATTTAAAATTCGATTGTTTGTAAGAAAAGTAGGAAATCTATTTCTTTATTATCTAAAATTTTTGTATGTACCTACTTACTATTGATCAGGTAATTTGAAAAAATAAAATCGAAAATGAAGATCAAAGCGTAATCTACAAAAAACAAAAGTTTATTTTTAAAGCACTGATAAAGTCTTGGAACTTTTGATATCGCCGGAAGCTCTTCTTAGTATAAACTGATAATGTACAACTTGGCAAAAGCTGATTTGGCCTGCTTACTACTGGCATAGCTACATAGAAATTTATCCGAAATAATAGCTAGAATACAAAGGTTGTGTTAAATACTGCCTGAGATTCGATTTATGTATATGTCTTCAAGAATTCCGCGCACGTCTGCCAAAAATTAGTATTGCTACATTCCATAGTACGACTCAAAATACTTCCAAATTTCAGAAATCTTATAAAATATAACCGAATTAAGTAAAACGGAAATAATAAATGTATATTCTCAAAAGACAAAATTGAAAAGAAAATTATTATTGAGAAAAATGGACGTATGCACTTATGTACTATTTTCATACGACCAATATTTTATTTAATTTGATTGGAAATCAGTTATTATTTATACATCAGCATAATAAATAAATAATATAGTAACATTTTAATGAGAAGATATTCTTTATTTTATGGGCACAACGTTGAAATGTTTCCGCTTTTGCGAGATAAGCAGCGAGGAAATGTAAATTTTTCTGTTCAGAGAGACGATCTCCCTTCTAAAGTAAAACGAGAGTACTTTACCGCATAATTTTTTGCCCATTTTACTGATTTATAGTCGGGTCGACTTCATTGCTAGTCAATTTTCCTCGAAGCCGGTACATAAATGAAGCCCGGTTACATCCATTACTTACAAATCTCTCATCCCCCAATTGATTTATATCTCTTTCAACCTTATATTTGTTATAATTAGGATGATAATAAAGAAAAGTCGAAGAAATATACGGATATGACGAAAGATACATTATACATCTACGTTGAAGTTATATATCGCTTATCTTAATTTAAAAATAAACCATTCATATATCTTACAGTTTAATCTAATAATTTTCGCTGGATTACTAGAATCGTATTTATTTCTACAAATGTTAATTGATCTTGAAAATACATTTTGTGTAACTTTATGATATTTCATACAAACTTTATATTTACTGATATTTTCATAAATATTTAATACACGCTCTGCAATTTTTATATCTGTAAATGCAATTTTATAAAAATGTAAAATATAAAAATAACGGTAATCAATGTAATCAACACAGCTTGGAGTTAATATAGCATAAAGGTCTCTGTCATACACGAACGGAGAGTTTCATCACATTCGACTCGACGGTGAATTAGTGGTAGCGCTCGAGGTGATTCCGTTTATTCCCTCTATTTACTGTGCAGGTGTACGATTTTCTACGACGACGCGGGCACACATGATACAAGCCGGGAAACATGTATATAAACGCGATAAATCGCCGACACGCGTCCGTCGAGCCGTGTGTGAAACTCCCGCTCGGATCGCTCGTCGAGTAGATCCGTCACGAATGCAGACGCCCACAGCGATGCATGAAGTGCATCGCGGTGCCGGTTGCACTCGTATTTTACGAAGTTCGCCGGTGCTTCGTCTACGTCATTTTTTCCTCAGGGCTCGCGCGCCGGAAGAGTGGAAATCGTCTCTCTGCGGAATGAGTTCCTGATACGGCCGAGCGGTCGGTAAATTTAGACGATTCGCGATCTACAGGAGCGAAAAGCGAAATAGAGGAATGGTAATTTATTGACTCCTATACATATACGTGGTATCGCGGCATATGTGGCCATTGAGAGTTTAGTTCTTATTCAAGTGATAAAATTTGAGTGCAACAGCTCGTCCGCGTGATAAATTATTCCGCTAATGGAGCATATTGTAAAATCGATCAGCGAATTAACCGCGAATATATAATTACATCTTTTTAATATGCATTTTTAGCGAATTGAACGCTTTTATCCAAAGAAATTTAATCATGTATAGAGTAGGTGTGCATATCAGTCAACGTTGTCTATTAATATTCTCATAACTTGAAGAATAATGTACAGTAAAATTCATAATTTTGAAATTTTATTATGTTATCAAATACGTAGAATTGTTCTGTTATATTTCAAATGTTGAAATAGTAAATTAATTTTTTTATGTTAATTTCAATTTAGGATTAAACATTCTCTTTTTTCTAAAATAAGATTATTATTTAAAAATATGCCATTATTATACGTATAAATAGTTATTGTATAACAAATTTTAATATTAATATTTAAACTGTACGGAAAAAAAGATTAGTTACTTAATATAGTCGTAATATATGGATAACTAACATTTGTTTGCAGCGAGAGTTATATTTTTTGCAGAGTGAGAACAAAAGGTTTTGCTACTATTGCTAAATTATAGCTCTCGCTGCAAAAATGTTGGTTGTCTATATTTCACGACTAAATTTAGCTAATTTTTTTTCCGTGTGCTTGGAACAAATATTCAAATCCTTCTTCGTGTTTTTCATTATCGTAATGTTTAACATCGGACGGGAAAGTCGCTCTCTGGAAGTGTTTAATCGTCAAATCCATTGAAGAGCATTCTCAAAGCAATCGCTCCGGGGACATTTTCTAGCGCACACCGACACGCAAAACCACGTTCTCCTAGCGTGAATTCACGCTCGAAGTCGCGCCACTCGACTTCTGTCGCTTTAAGCCGGATCGGGCCGACGTTCCTGGAACCGAGAGGCAAGATCGCTACTTATCTACGATCTAGCTATTCTGTGGATCAGCTCGCGCGAATCCGAGAGTCGATGCGCCGCGCCGGTGGGTTGGCGGGACATACAATGCCTTGGGTATCTCCCACTTTCGGCCGACGAGGGGATCCATCTAGCCACCAGCCACGAGTTTCTTCCACCATCCTCTTAACGGCGACCATCAATGTGCCTTAGTCGCTTGCGGAGCCCACCACCCCGGACTCATCGTTATCTTAGCCGCGATAAGCCCCGCAGGAGAACAGATGACGACGAGTATTTTTTCGCCGGGGCAAATCTATTTTAAATTCTCTTCCTATATCCCTCGTTCTGCGCGCGGTGCCGTAAACGACACGAAGGTATTTCTCGCCCAGCTTCTCGTAGCATATTAATTTCCGATAAGTCAGCATCCGCGCGCGTTCCACGCCCATTTTCGTTCACCAGTCCGACACACCCCCTTATTACGGTCCCGCGGCGAAGACACGCGGCGATCAGAATTGCGGTATCAGAATCTCATTTCGCGGTGAGACGACGCTATCGTTGTTTCACATTTTTTTTCACCTCCCTCGCGGCGATATATCGCGTGGGAAAACGAGGAGGTGACGCGATGCGCGACGGTGTTTCCGCTTGATGCGGAACATTACGACAAAGTCGATCTATCTCGGATGGATTGTGCCGGGACAAAAAGCTACGGATGTGAACAAGCTCATGGTTATCTATTTATCTGTGCATGCAGGAAGAATTATAAAAATATATATAAAATGGTATAATATAAAATATGTATTGTATGTTAAATATAATCTTCACAAAATAAGGACATAGATACATGGAAAAAAATGAAACAAAATTATTTGTCCGAAAAACATAATTTTATTACTAACGTTACAATGGAAAATTAAATAACATTGTAAATATGTTTACCAAAGGAGTATTGTATTATAATATTCTCATATTTTAATGTTTTCATATTGTATAAATATTAGATATATAATTATTTTAGCAAAATTAATTATAAGAGAAAATGAACCGTCTATTTTCTTTATTCCTCTTTCCGCTATTTCCTCTATATTTGTCTTTTTAATTAAAATACAGCTTTCGCTCTTAGTTTATATTAATTAGGTACGATTGTACACTCACAGAAAGTGAAGAAAGTCGTTGCTCCTTGTGCATTTCAGGATTTCCATGGAATAGCTACTCACGATGACCAGTATGAAATTTTTTCGCGTCATCTTGGCGCTCTTGGGAGGCACGCACGTTTTGTGCTCACAACCATCGGCGTCTCCAACTGTGAAAACCGGTGAGTACTACCTGCCTTGAACACAATGGACTTGATTACTGCTGCGTTATATCATATTTATTCGTCCGCTGATATCCTCCTGTTGTTGAGATCGAAAGTGCTATTAGTTCCGTTTCTCGCGTATTGATGCAATAAACTACGTGCATTTGTAGCTTTAATAACGGTGATTTTTTAAATATAAGATACGATGCAGAATATTGCACGAAGTATTATTACGCTGAAAATAATGCCATTATAAATTTATAGCCACCGCTAGGAATGCACGCTATTGTATCGGAAATTGAATCTTTCACATCGAATTGTAGCGCAACGTTTACATATCTCTTCGCTATTTCACGTGATTATTAATGGATCCAATTCGCGCAATGTTGCATGATCTATTCTTTATCAATTAAAGTTTGTGCATTCAACGTCGATGAAATTAATTAACAATTTACAGCTGTAATAGATGTCTCGGTATTTTCAAAGTTTTCCATGCGGTGCTGCCACTGCATGTACCGTAAATAACAGAAACAACAATTTTTATTTCATTTTCAATATACGTCGAAATCTTTCATTATTTTAAACAGATAAAGTAACACATAAATTTGTACTCATTTTTCTAATAATATATCTTTAAAACACTTTTTTGATAAGAAAAATATGCAATGTGAATACAAGAAGTGCGCAATATGTACGCGGACTCAAAATGAATTAAAATTCCGCAGTAACTCATGAGTGATCTTGTTTCTATTTTTACGAAGATGTAAAGATACCCTTGTCAGCTTCGTTCCATTTCCAATAATCATCGTAGAATGGAATTATCATGCAAATGAAAGCGTAGCATAATGGCTCTGTATGTAATTAACGAGTCGCCCAGCCTTTCGTAACAGTGAAGCCGGTGAAATGGCGATAAAATATTCACAGAGACAACGAACTGAATCAGACGGTAGGCGAACGAGTCCAGGAAAGTGACGGGTAATGCGTATGCACCGTTCCGAAAGATAGGATGTCCGTCTTGTTGTTACAATTTTTCTCGTTAGATATCGCGTTGGATTACTTTTCCAATTGACATGGCATAAAAAAGTAAATTACTGAAAAGAGTGAATTACTGAATTACTGAATTACTGAATTACTGAAAGTAAATGTCTAAAAGAAACAAAGTGAGAGAGAGAATAATTAAAATACTTTATGACGCTATAAATAGATTCTTTTTCCTATTTTAATTCTGTTTACATCTCTGTATTAATTAGTTGTATTAGTAAATAACTTTATTAAACGTCAACAAAGAAAATTAGGATATATTAAATAGCTAAACAGCTTTTATGGAAGAGAAATGTTTTGTTTTAATTTAAATTTCAAAACTATTGCATAGATTAAATTTATTATTATACTATTTTAATTAATAATAACGAGGAGAAACAGCTTTTCTATCATTTCAACCTAGATATATAGCCTTTCCAATTATTCTGAATTCATATTGCTTTAATTATTCAGTTTAATTTACGCAAAATACTATTCATAATTGTATGCAATTAATCGGCGTTTCGAAATGTGAGATGATATATAAATGATTTTAACTTTTCGCTAAATTTTGTATGGTCATAAAACTGAGCTAAGAGCAATTAATTCACAGGTATACTCTCGCGGAATTTAATTCGACCATCGGATCTGCGATACGATGTTCTCACATTTTTCCAGATAGCCTCGGGAGCGAATCGGTGTGCTTTTAAGCGTAATTTTCATTCATTACTTATGAAACCATTAATTCCGCATCGAAAACCGGACGTGTTTGCATTCGTGTGTGTGTGTGTGTGTGTGTGTGTGTGTGTGTTCCGTTTAAAACCGCGTTTTTATCTCGAGAATTTTACATGGCTATATTATGCAACGCTGTTCAATGCAGCTTCAACCACATATCGATGTGCTTCGGCTGATAAGCAGAGCATTTACGTTCCTTGATTTCTATCGTGCACACTTCAATTTGCACTCGCAAACTGTGCGTAATCTGATTGATTCATTACTGCGAATACCTACGCGCACTTTATTTTCGCGAGCGAGCGACGCGTCCGTATCGGTTCCAATGTGAATGACTTTGCCGCGCCGTTCCTTTTTCATACCGAGAGTTTGATGAAACGATCGATTCTCATTTGCTGTTCTCCAACGAACGGTGCAATTTTCGAGAAAAAGCTGGCCCAGATTTCACCCTAACTGTTTGCCGTAGTTTCGTAACTGATAGACGAAGACCTAACGTTATTATTCCGCTAATATATTATGGCATTCTAGAATTAATTAAATTTATGTTGACGTCAATTACTCCGGACATTGTTGCTAATGTGTGCAGTTTCGTAAAGTTTGAAGACCTAACATATGTATACTACGCAAATGATCATAATTGAGAATTACAAGATTGTATTCAATTAAGAGTCAAAGAATTATGATAGACTATATTTTCTTATTTTCCAAACTATATTTTTTCTATGATAGCAAAAATGAGTTTTTTTAATAATTTGCTATTTAACTGCAAATTGTTATAAAATCTTTCCAATTTCGAACAGGTAAAAATTGTATATTACGGTTACAGAAAAGATGTATAGATAACTTCTGGAAATAAATAATGCTATAAACTTTGACTTGCTAACGTGGGAAACATCATTTATCAAGTCAAACATGACAAATAATATCGAAAGTGATGACAACGTTGTATCGATTCGTTCTACATATGGCGCAACTTTCGCGAAAATCGTTAGACCTTCCTGTCGGGAGACCTGAAGAAAAGCTTCTCGAGCATTACGCGTGATTTAATGGCGTCGTTGTACCGTAAGTTTGTTACGATGCATAAATTTCGCGTCATTATGAGGCTGTTCGCGATAATTGCGTCGCGTCGCGGCCAACGACTTAAAAGGTCTTCCAGGGTAATTAATTATTGCCCGATGAAGGGTGAGGAAGGTGATAAACACGACACACCTGCAGTTCGTTAACCAAGAGGCACACGAACAGGCCCTATTAGATATTGCCTCGAAGATTGAAAGGAAGCCGTGACGAGATCCGGTAGATATCCTACGTGCTATGTTGGACCGGCAAAGGCGTAACAGCGCTGTTATTACCCTATCGGTACATCGACATTCTATTTTGCAATAGAAGTTTTTCCAATCCAGCACGACATTCATTTTACATATACTATCCTTCCCTAGCTATTAATTAAAACAGCGAATTGATTGACGTAGTCAGTAGTTGATATCGAATATTTTTATGGCTTCTCTGTTATCGCAAACAATATTCTTTCCCAATATTTTTTTATTCCGCTAAATATCGACGTGATATTTGCATGCCGAGCTCATGACAAACACGACCGAACATTTTAACGTTGTCGATTTTAGCAAGTTGACGGTTCGTATTTTAATGAATTAAACATGATGGGGCGTATTAAAATGGATTTCCCGCTTAATGTGAAATAACTGATAAGTGATCGTTGTCAACAATTTGCGACGATTGCAATTAGCAATGATTTTTAATATTTTTTTTTTACAGAGACATTAATGTGTCACAACAGATGCAGGAGAAAAAATAATATACTGCAAGAAATTTTATTCCTATGTTTTTACTGAGAAATTATATTGCGGGATATTTCGAAACTTCTGTGACGAATGAATATACCTGCACAAGAAATCCCGATAAATGTGATCGTTGTTTACGTTTCGCGCAGTCGATATATCAAACAACCGATGACAGCAAGTCGGAATTGCGCGGGTGTCTTTTTTTTCTCGTCGACCGTGTCCGCGCGCTCTTACTCTTCTCGAAATTATACGTGATGGCGTGTATAATGCAGGTCGCTCTAGTCCGACCCCGATATCCATGACAGCGGGGTGCACGTACAACCCCCTCCCCTTCGGCCGACACCTCCACCAATCTCGAGACGCGATAAAAACTAAGATTACTGTGCAATGCAATCAGTGGGGTACCCGGTTGTTCTTTCAGATTAAAACACAGTCCGAGATTACCGGTCGAAACTATTGTTTTGCCGAGAGAGCTCCGCGACCCGCCGAGATTGTGTCTCGGTTTGCCAGATGCAAAACGTGCGACGTTTGAAGATCGAGCTCAACTGAGAAAAATCTGTGACTCTTGACTTTTCGTTGCGTGCACTTCAGCTGTATCCTTACGCTCGCGTGCGCGCATATGCATGTCACGTATTCTTTTGAGTATCAAAAATTCGACATGTGTCAGAAACGCAAGTTTCTTCTGTTTTTCATGTTTGCGTCGGGGGAAAAATTTTAAGAAAAATTGAAGTAAAATCGGATAAGAGTTCTTATTGAATCTGCGGCGTAAAAATAAATAAATGCATCAGCAGTAAAAAGTAAGTTACAATATCAATCATAAGTAAGATTATGAATGAGTAACCAGTTTGCAAATAAATTCAGATTTGTTTATTTTAAAATTTTTAATCTAAAAAAATATTATATGCGTTAGATAAAATATTTGCCAAAATATTTCCAATTGTGTCCTCGGGATGGAGGTAACGTGTTTGAAGAGAGAAACCACAAACAGTTTAAAACAAGTTTGGCAATCATTGCGTAGTGTGTTTGTTTAAAACAATGTTAAAATGAAAAGATTGAATACATACTCAGTGCAAACAAGCAATGTTTAGGAAAATCGTAAAAAATCTAAAAGATTAGAAAGTACAATTTCTCAAAATTAGAATAAACAGTCTGTATTTTTTGTTTCTTAAAAAACTTGAATTTTTAACTCGTGGTATTTTACACGTTATTTCCAATTCTTTTAAAAAATACATTTTTTAATGAACTAAAGATAAACGTAGAGATAAACTAGATTAATTTTGTTATAAGATTTATATTATTTAGTATTACAACTGTATCACAGAGAAAGAATTTTTGAAAAATATGTAATATGTATTTACTGAAAAACTTTATTTTAAAATTTAATTTTGCTAAATGTATATAATAACAAAATAATTTGTATTAGAATTGCTTTATAATTCTTTGAAGATGTTTTTTAGTTTTATTAGA